CGGCGCCGGCCCCCTCCCCGTGGCCTTGCCCTGGGAAAGCTGCTCTCTTCCCCCGCCTGGACGCAACGGCTGCAACAAAGAGGAAAAGGAGGAGAAAAGTGCTTCTCCTCCGCCCAGGCGCCGGAGCCAGGACCCCAGCGAGTCCCAGCTCCCCCCGGCGTCGGGTGGACGGAGCTGGGTATCCCCACTCACTGCGATCCCGCGGCTCCTGCCCCGGTGCCTCGCTGCTCTCCGGTGTGGAAGGGCTGCAGCTCTTCCTGACCACTTCGCTCTGACGAAGGCCCTAAGGCAGCCTCTCCACCCCCCCTCCTCCTCCTCACGTCTCTCCTCCCAAACTCCAAAGGAAATCAAGGGCCTTGGGAGCCAAAAGCTACAAGACAAGGGGAAAAAGAAAAATAATCCCATGCTGTCAGAAGTGCTGTAAGCAGGGGGAAGGGAGAGCGAGACAAACAGCCTGGCAAAGGGAGAGGCGGCATGGGCTGCAAACCAGCTTGGCTGAACACATCTGGGCACCGGGCAGGAGGAGGGAGGGAAGGGAATCGAGAGAAAACAGGCAGCAGAGTGAAAGTGGAACAAGAGAAAGGCCAAGAGAGGGAAGCCCACCAAATGCAGGCAGGGTTGGAACGGGAGAAGGAAGAGGGAGCCCTCGGAGAATGCAGGTCCCCTGACTGGCAGCCTCGGGCTGTCCCTGGTAGCAGGGCTGAGTCAAGGGTGGCAGCAGGGCACACACAGGCTGGCAGTGCCAGTCCTGGGAGCACCTGCGGGGAGGGGCAGGAGCCAGCTGGGGGGTGCCAGCATAGGGCCCGGAGGCAGCATGTGGGGCTGAGCGGGCAGGGATGTGCCAGGCAGCAGCAGGCAGGTGGAAGTGCAGGCAGAGCAGCACTGCGGCCATGCCAGGAAGCAAGGCTAGCCCCTGGGGACTGCAGGGCACGTGGCAAAGCTGGGACTGTGCCGGGCTTTCGAAGGCACTCCCAGCTTGCCTTTAACTCGTTCCAGCACCGAGTGCATCCAAGGGACACCGTCAGTCACAGGGTGGTGGGGCGGTCCTGTGGCTGGGGGGAGTCCTCGTGCCCTGCAGCCAGCTTGTAGCAGCTGAGACATGCAGGGAGCGAAGGAGCCGGGTGGGCTTGAACCCCCTGAGCAGGGGCAGCTGTGCGGGAACAGCCGTGCCGTGCTGGCTGCAAGGGCAGAGTGGTGCTGACCCGAGTGGGTCCTGCTCCCAGTAACCTCAGCCGGGCAGGGGACTTTCCCACACGCTCAGGGCAGGAGAGGGCAGCGGGAAGCATGCTGGCACTGCTGGCTTTCTCCTCCCTGTGCCGGTACCCGCAGCAGTGCGCGTGACATTGCAGGCTGAGCCTTCCTGCCCCGGATGCCTGGGGCCAGGCTGGGTGCTGGCAGGGAGCCGCCTGGCTCCTCTCTCCCAAGGTGTGAAGGGGCTGTTGTTTTTGGCCAGCTGGGAGCTGGTTTGTGGCCACGGGGTGTTGCCAGGCCTGTGGCCATCAGGGTGGCCTGAAGCCAGCACGACCAGCTCAGCCAGCAGGGCCACAGCCCTTGCTGGGGCAGGATCCCCTCCCTGCACCATGGGGCTGCCAGCCCTCTGAGACCCACCCATCTCCCTGGGGCCCTGCAAGCCCCCCAGCCCATCAAGGGCACAGCCAGCAGCTCGTTCCCCTCTGCAGCCAGGCAGTCTCCCCTGCGCCCCCCGAGCCCCCCCCAGCCCTGGCTTCCCTCCCTTGGACCATGCCTCGGTTTCCCTTGGGATCTGGCAGGACCCACATGCAGACCCTCCCCAAAAGAGCCACCTGCTCCATTGGGTTTGTCAGCTGCTCACGCTGTTTATTCTGCTGGCTTTGGGGCTGTGGAACATGGGCAGCCCTGGGCTCTTCTGCCTGCAGCCTGGCTCACCTTGGCCCAGCCTTGCTCCATTTGGGGAGCATTAACCCTTCCCCTGCTAGGCTAGCAGCTGCCTGAGGGAACCATGCACAGCTTTGGCCAACGCACCTGGGGTTGGCTGAGGATGGGGAGGCAGCACCCAACCCTCTTGCCACCTTCCTGCTGCTTGGTAGGGGGACTTTGTGTGGTGTCCCCAGCACAGCTCCAGTCTGTGGGCACAGCCCCTCCAGCACAAGCCTTTCTCTGTAGCAAGGCTGGGAAGGGGCACCTGCTCGCTAAGGACTTCATCCTGTGGGCAAGCCCATGGCATCCAGGCACAGAGCTGAGCACTGAGCAGAGGCGCTGACCCTAGGGCAGGTGAGAAGCTAGGCACTGGGGTGCTGCTGATGGGGGCCACCCCAGCAGCTGGGTGTTTGCAACAGGAGGAGGATGGGAGGGACATTTGGGGTGGGGGAGTGGCTCTGGGCAGGCTGCTTCAGCCCCTGCTCCTCTTCTCTTGCCAGGTCAGGGCTGGAAGCACTCTATGGGGTCATTGGAGTCGGGCAGGATGTTGCAGTTGATGGGCCAGAGGATGCCAAGGAGGCTGAGGGACTGCTGGCACCGCAGCTCAGCAGCCAGGCACACGGCTCTACAGGGCTGCAGGACACCCCCATCTGGGGTGCACTTGGGCACGAAGAGGCTGCAGATGAGGAGGCGGAGGTGCTGGTAGCAGGCGAGCTCCATCAGCGTCTGCAGGAGAGTGGCGGTGAGTGTGGCACGGTGTGGTGTGGTGCGGGCAGACCCACGTGCAGCCCCCGGGCAGCTCACCTGGTAGTCCTGCAGCACCTCAGCAGCTCCCTCCTGGTCCGGGATGGCCAGCCAGATATTGGGGAAGGAGGTGGCATTGTAACCCAGCCCCAGGCACATCTCCACTTCCACGGGCTCACAGACAGACCCTGCCACAGGGTGAAGTGCTTCACTTCTTACAGCAGCAGTGATGCCCACCAGGTATGCCTCGGGCAGATGTTAGCCACGGGGCAGCTGCCAGCATGTCTCCTGGCTTGGGGGGGGCTGAGTGCTGAGTGGTGCACCCGGGGGTGGCACTCACCGAAGGCTGGGTAGGAGACCCCAGTGCAGTTCAGCTCATCGGTGCCGTCGGGGCAGTCGTGCCAGCCGTCACACACGGACTCCAGCGCCTGGCACTCACCATTTCCACAGGAGAACTCCATGGGGCTGCAGGTCTCTGTAAGATGAGAGGGGCCAGCGCGGCAGGGCATGGGCTCGGGCATGGGCACGGGCAGAGAGCAGGCTGGCTGTGGCCTGGGTCGTGCCGCTGGTGGCTGGCCTCCCTGCTGGGAGTCAGCCTGCTCCCATGCTGACCATCCCTGTCTCCGCTCTTCTTGGTCACTGGCCAGGGGATATCCAGGTGAGTGGTTGCAGAGCACTGCCGCCTGGCAGCCATGGCCGATAGGTGACCACCGCTGGCCCAGCTTAGGGGGATCCCAAATTCCCTGGGTTTTTTGGGGGCAGCCCTCAGGTGATGGATTGTGCCTGTGTGCAGGTGAGCCCTTCCAGGCCACATCCCCATGGCTAGGATCACTTGGGTTATAGGGTAATTCAGGTGAGAAGGGACCTCAGGGGCCTGTAGCCCAACCTCCTGCTCTAAGCAGGGTCAGCTATGGGGTGAGAGCAGCTTTTTCCAGGGCTTTATCCAGTCTGGCCTTGAAAACCCCCAAGGATGGTGACTGCACAGCTCCTCTGGGCAGCCTGCGCCCCTGCTTGGCTACCTACTCTCTGTGGCATTGCGGGCTTGGTAGGTGGCAAAGAACCCGTCGTCTGCTACTCCTTCGTCTGCCACGAAGAGGACGGTCATGACATGGCGTGAGGAGGTCAGGGTGGGTGGCAGCTGGTGGCCGCAGAACCTGCCGGGGTCGTGGGGCGAGGGATGGGGTCAGGGTGGGCAGCAGGGCCGACCAGCACCTCCCCAAACCCTGTCCTCCAGTGGCTCCCCCCCACCAGCCTGTCCTGTGCCTCAGTTTCCCCAGCTAAGCCACGGGAGCCCAGTGCACCCAAGCTGGTGCAGCAGGGCCGGAGATATGAGGGGTGTGCTTGTACCTGCCCATGAGGCTGGCGGCCCCCGTGCCTGCGCTGTCGTGCACCTCTACAAAGTCGAAGCTGCAGTCCTCATGCGACTCCAGGCTGAAGTTGTGGAAGTGCAGGTCGATGACGTGGCCCACGGGCACTGAGATCTTCCAGAGGTTGTGGAAGTAGGTCGATGACGTGGCCCACGGGCACTGAGATCTTCCAGAGGCACAGCTGCAGGGCAGGGGGCAGCAGGCGACACCCATGAAGCCAGGCAGGGGCACCCCCAGCTCTCCCTGGTGGGAGGTTGCCTTCCTCCCTGCCTGCCCTCACCCTCATCCTCCTCCCGCCTCCATGCCGCTGGCATCCCTCCTCTCACCTGCTGGTGCGGGTATGGCTGGGGGGGGCTTGACACACTTGCAGCTTTACCCTCTGCCCCTCTCCCTTCACCCCGTCTCCCTGCTCCCCCGCCCCTGCCTCCCACTGCCCATCGCCATGCCCTCTGGCCGGGTGCCACGGGGGCTGTGGGCTGCAGGTGGGGGGCTGGCCGACCTTTGTGTTTCAGGCTGCAGTTGGCTTCATCGCTCTTGTCCACGCAGTCGTGGAAGCCATCACAGATGAAGCCCAGGTGGAGGCAGAGCCCATGGTCGCACAAATGCTCATCCCAGGCACAGCTCTCTGCGGTGCAGGCAGAGATGGCCAGGCTGGCGGTGACGTCCCGCTGGGCACCCTCCCCTGCCCCAGTGCTCCGGGTGCTACAGGAGAACCCTGGCGCTACCCGCTGCCTGCCCGCAGCGAGAAGTCCTGGCAGTGCCCAGGGGCAGGGGGACTCACTCTCCCTGGGGGCCCTGGCACGGGAGCGTGAAGCCTGGAGCGCCCACGCTGCTGTCGGAGACGAAGGTGACGCGCAGGTGGTTGGAGTTGGTGTTGAAGGTCGGAGGGGCCACATTGCCACAAAACCTGGGGGCACAACAAGGGGCGACACTGCTCGCCCCCGGAGATGCTGCCCCCTCCCCACTGCACTGCCACGCTCCCCGGGTGCGAGGGGCCCTACCTGGTCAGGCCCCCCCGAGCTGGGTCAGGATCCATGCCGCCGGCCCCCGGCTCCTCGTAGAGCTCCACGCGGTCGAAGAGGCAGGAGGCAGTGCCCTCCACACTGAATGTCTCCATCTTCAGCTGGATGGCGAGGCCAGGGCCCACCTCGATGTGCCAGATGCAGAGTGCGTTGGGCGGGTAGGGGCCGGGGTAGTTGGGAGAGCTGAAGGAGCCCTCGGGGCCCCGCAGGGTCCCACCGCAGGCTGCACAGCGCAACAGCATGGGCATGAGCTAGTGCTGCAGGGCACCGCCATCCTGGCACAGTGCCCCACATAGGACTTACCCGGTGCTGGCGTGCCGGCTGTGGGCAGCCAGGTCTGCGTTGGGGTGGCAGCTGTTTTGGGGGC